CCAGTCAGAACCTTGGATTAACTCCGAAATACTAGATAGTATCAAACAAAGAGACTCGTATTTATATAGATACAAAAAGTATGGTGAAAGAGAGGATTATAAGATTTTCTGTAAGTTAAGGAATCAAATTCAAAGAGATATAAAGACTGCTAAGTCAGAATATTTTACTAACAAAATAGAGGAAAACAAATTTAATCCTAGCAAACTCTGGCAAAACTTAAAGACTTTGGGATATAAAAATGACAAGAAGAAATCTTCAAATATTGTATTATCAATTAATGGGGAAAACTGCCATGACGCTGATACTGTTTCAAATTATTTTAACGATTTTTTTACATTAGTGTTGCTTCTTAACTTGTTGAGAAATTACCTTCACGTTAAAAATTGTATGATTTAGGGTCTGAAAAGCTTTTCAATTTTTATAGTAAAAGAAATCCTGATAGTAATATTTTAAATCTACAACATGTATCTGAAAATTTTGTTTTTAAGGAACTATGCAACTAAAATGTTAGTAAAAGCACAGGATTAGATGGTATTCCTGCCCGATTTTTGAAGGATGGTTCTAGTGTTTTGAAAATACCAATTACTTACATTGTTAATCTATCTTTTTCTGAAGGTAAAGTACCTGATGAAATGAAGTTGGCTAGAGTAAAACCACTTTACAAGAAGAGTAGTGTTCTAGAAGTTGGTAATTATAGGCCTGTCAGTATTTTAAGTGTAATTTCAAAAATTTTAGAGAAAGCAGCTAATGTTCAACTTGAAACATTTTTGGTTTCCAATAATTTACTGTATGAACACCAGTCTGGTTTTAGAAGGTGTTATTCTACAGATAGCTGTCTTATTCACTTACAAGATGTTATAAGAATTAATACTAGTAAAGGGTTATACACAGGTATGGTGATGCTTGACTTGCAAAAGGCGTTTGACACCGTGACCATGATATTCTTAGTGGAAAGTTAGAATTAATGGGTGTTCAGTCTATTTCCTGGTTCAGATCATATCTTTCGGAACGTTCACAAATTGTTAATATAAGAAATACTTACTCTAAATCAAACAGTGTGACCTGTGGCGTCCCCCAAGGTAGTATTCTAGGGCCGTTGCTTTTTCTGTGCTACGTAAATAATATGATTTTAAGTATTGATAATGATTGCAAGTTAATACTGTATGCAGATGACAGCACTATTTTATTCTCACATAAAGACCCGAATTTCATCTCAGAAAAACTTGGGACAGCCCTAGAAAGCTGTTCAGAATGGCTTGTAGACAATAAGCTGTCACTCCACCTTCAGTCCTACGCATAAACCCAAGATTTCCAGTTTTCCCCCAACATTTCATATCTCTGGCCAGTGATGAGCATTTAATTATAATTACATGGCTTGTCACAGTATCACTGATAGCAGCACCCTAGAATGTTTTATGATCCTATCATGTTTCAAGAATGTAAAGTTTTAGGAACAATTTAGATATAAGGAAAACTAAGATTTTCATAGATACATTCAATTTGAAATAAGTTAAAGACTAAAAGGACTGGATTACATTAAAAAGAGTTTTAATCACTTACAATTCACAATCACAGGGACTCAGTACAGTGTTGGGATAAAGTAAAAAATTAATTTTAGAAACAAAAATATAGAATAGGTTTTTTATTTCTAAAATTTCTTTTTACACTATCCCAACACTTGCACTAATGTATAATTACTTTCATGGTAAATGCATATCATGCCTCAGACATTTATATTATTTTTATTTTTTTCTTAAGGAGCAAAATAATGTTTAGTAATAATAATAAAAATAATGGGTTTAAAGCATTATTGATGCTTATCATTCAATTTGATTGAAAAGTAGCTCTGAAGTGAAAAAAAAATTGTAAAAAAGGTAGCAAAATGTAACCAAAGTAGTATTTTGACTTCCATACAAAATACTAAATCACTTTAACTTTACCAATTGCAAAAGAGCAGATAAAAGTAAAAATTTGATGATCTTTAAGTTATTGTTAGGAAACCATAACTGGACACCAAATGTCACAATAGCTGCCAGAGGAGCCAGGACTCATGACAAAGATAATACTCAGAAATACATGAAATTTCACTAAATCTCATGTTCAAAATTTAATGGAGATAATACTAAAAATACAGGAGTTATAAATCTATTCGCACCTGTTATAAGTGTTCAGAAACATATTTTTAATTCCAAATTTAATGCGGAAATTCTGAGTAAAAAAGGATGATGATTCTGAAAATATTGACGCTAGAGTTATGTAGCTTGTCATGTTATTGTTTAAAGTTCGAAGTAAATTCTTTCATAAATAAAGAAGTAAGAGCAAAAATATAAATATATAAAAATAATATATAAAGAAGAGCTGTCACAGAACGTGACAAATGCCCCTAAAGGATTCTAGTTATGAACCACCTATAACATGTTAAGTGTGGTAATAAAAATTGACAAAGTTCGAACCCCAGCTGAGTGGCTTTTAAGTAAGAGAAAGAAACCTTGGTCTTGTTCACAACACATTGTCCATCTATGGTGACTTTATATATTTGAAAAAAATATGAAACTTTCATATATATGGAAGTTACAGAGCGGACACAACAAACACCATTTATATGTCTTAAGGGCAACACATCATACATTTATGATAATTTCATAATTATGTGAAATAAAACATATTATCCTTTCATGCATATTAGTTTCAGAGCATACACGGCCATCTCTGCCTATTTGTATATTAACATCAAAATTGAAAGTTTGAATCCCCACAGTGACCTTGACATTAGTCGTAAGAAACCGAGCCTTGTTCGCAACACACCATGCATCTATGGTTATTTCATATATGAAAGAAAAAATAAAATCCTTTCATGCATATAATATAGAGAAATACAGAAGTTTCAGAGCAGACATAACCACCACCTTTTATATTTATATAACATAAAAAATGACAAAGTTTGAACCCCAACAATGACCTTGACCTTAGTCGTAGGAACCCGAGTCTTGTTTGCGACACACCATACATCTTTGGTTATTTCATTATGAATAACATTAAAATCCTTTCATGAATACTGAAAATTTCAGAACGGACAAGACCACCACTGTCTATATGTATAAAGCCGGACGGACTGACAGACGGACGGTTCGATTTTAATATGCCACCCTTCGGGGGCATAATAAACATCTAAGTTCAAAGGGGAAATAATTCTGGAAATATTCATGCTAGAGTTATGAATACTGTCAAACATGTATAAGGAACATATATTTTTAAGTTAGAAGTAGATACCTTAAGAAATAAAGAAGTTAGTAAAAAGTAACATTATTATTTTGAGGAAAAAAATGAGTTCATGGGGAAATATTCTGGAAATTATTGGTGCTTAAGTGAACAACATTGTCACATATGATGTAGTTGTTGGTAAGGTACACATATTTGAATATTTAGGTCAATCCCTTATGATGAAATGAAGCATAGAGTAAAAAATAACATTATTTTATGGAAAATTGTATGTTCAAAGGGAAATTGTTCTGTATATACTTTTTTTTAGTTTAACACCTTATCACATGATGTGTATAATGATAAGGAATACATACAGATGTATAATGAAAATTAATGACCCTTCGGGACGGGGCCAATTATTACCACAGGGCTTTGATCTGAACAAAATTGATAGACATTCAGTAAAAGATGTTTCATACCAAATATCTAAGCCCTAACTCTTTGTTGTTTTTAAAAGAAGAGTTTATGAGGTTTTATTTTTGTTGCTTTGGCAACCAAAGTTCTGCATGGGATTTTATTTTTTGAACACCTTTGGTAGAGCTTTATGTAAGATACACTCCTGCAATGGCTAGTGGTTTAGGAGTAGAAGTTGTTTAAATAAATTTTTGACGCATGGACATTGTCCTCAGATGAAAAACTTAACGCCCAGAACTTCTGTAACAGTGTATGAGTTTGAAAAATTAAATTGGTTTAATGTAGAAAAAAGAGTCAAACAGTTAAGACTCAATTATCATATGTATAAGATTTTTTACAAAAAGAGTCCATCATACCTTAGAGCCGACTTTAGATGTTGTGCTGATGCAAGATTTTACAACACTAGATCAAGCAATTTTAATTTTATTGTCCCCCAGTGTAATTCTGTGATGAAACAGACCTTTTATTATAATGGAATTAAAGACTGGAATGATCTGCCAGAGTATATAAAATCCATTAATAATTTTGTGCAATACAAAAAATCTGTTAAAAAGTACCTACTAGAAAGTTATAAAAGTCTTTCAGAAGATATATATGTGTACAACTAATGTGTTAGGCACTGTGATCAAATATTTCTGTGATAGTAATACTAGGCTTATTTTAAAAAGTGCATACTTTTATAAATATATTTCCTTTTTCAACCAAAATTTTGACCAAAGTTTAGTTTAGTTTTTTATCTTGTTGTTTTTTGTTTGTTTGTTTTTTTTTCTTAGGGGGGGGGGGGAAGGGTTAAAATTATGTTGTTTTTTTTTTTGGCTGTTTTTTTTTATTTCTATGGACCCCATTGGAAATAAGCATTTAGCTTAATGGGCTATCCATTGGTGCATAGTACCTTTTATTTATTTTTTTATGACAAAAGTGTGCTCTTTTATGCTGTTTTATGATCTCATATTATTTATATGATTTATATATGTTATCTCTTAACTGTATGATTTTATATCTTGTATCATGTGCTATGTTCCTAAAATGTATAAATAAATAAAATAAAAAAAATATCATCTTGTTTCACTATTAACATTTTAACCATGACAAGAATACATTTTCAGTCTCACCTTCCAAGCATGTCGATGTTTGGACTTTTCTTTTTTAGCTTTTCTTTTCACCTTTTCACACTCCGACGTGCACTAAATTCCTGCCTTTAATACTCGTAAGAGGGGTTGGCAGTTTCCAAAGATATACTACAGGCAGCAGACTGAGAAAAAAATGCAAATTATTTTGTGGCGTACTACCTTACAAGTTGTCAATATTCTGATACAAATTTTACACGCACCGCCTTTAATTTTTGCATGGACACAAAAACTGAAATATTTTCAGTTTATTTATCGTATGTGTGATTATTTTGAGATTGCAATGACTAAATATTGAATGCCAAGTGATTGTTTTAACTGTTTGCCGTTCCTCTTCGCAGTTTTTATTTTATAACTTAAGGAAGGTGTAAAAATTTAAGAAATCAAAAATGTCTGAGGAAGGCACTGCGCCACCAATGGATGAGAATGAGAAGCGAATTGTCAATGAATTTTGTCATCTTCTGGAAAAGTCAAAGCAGCTGTTTAATGGATTGAGGTATACTTATAACTAGAATAAGCATCTTCTTTAATTAATGTTTATGTGTTATAGTTATTGTTGACATAACTTTGAAAGAAATCAATGTCAAAATATTAAATAATGAATGTCAAAATAATTTGGCATTTGCAAATTCATAGTTCAAAGAAGTTTACATCTGCTGATAAGACCCAGATGTCCAAACCAGTGCTGCATACAGTATTGTATTATACAATGTAGCATTTTTCTGTTAAAGATTTATAAGTATTTCAATATTTGTAATTGGTCAGGTCGGATATCCGGGCACTTTACTGAAGAGCGTTGCCTAGCAATAAGCCGAGGTGAAAACAGACGCCATTTTGTATTTAGCGACAGTCGTTGTTTTTTGCTGCATTTTGTAGAATTGAACGAATAATTGAATATTTTTCGCCATGCCAACGATTTGAAGTGTTGCTGGATGCAATATTCATTTGGAAGAAAGAAAAATATAATAAAATACTTTACCATATGTGACTAGAAACAAGGATCGACGATACGGCGATTGAGAAGCGGATACGGCGTGTGGCTCAAATGGTTGCCTACTTCCAAATACATATATATATATACCTTTACTGTCAGCATTTCGTTATGTATTGAAATTCATTCATTAAATTTACATAATATAAAAATATGACCGCACAACTGTTCATTAAAACTATTTTTCTAGTTAATCAATAGCATTATCAGGCCTAGACATTAACTTTTGAATCAGGTTGTCCTGTCGGGCAAGTAGTTTTTAAAACTACTTGCCCGTGACCTAAGACTTACTTGTCCTGACCTAAAAATGGTAAAAATGTATAAATCAGAAAAACAAACAAGCTCATAAATATTTTTTGTATTTAGTAGTTTTTCTAAAACATCGGTTCATCTGTTTATTCAATGTGAATATACTACGGTCATGTACATTTGTTGATATAGGAAACGGAAGGAAAATATGAGCATGCGCCGCGGTAAGGAAATTCCCCGTTCAATCATCAAGTAAACAGCCGTAAACGAGTCTTCGTTTACTAAGTTCATAATGTTGTTATATTAGATTAAACAATAAATCATTTTTAATGCAAAAACTTTATTTAACAATTATATTTAAAGATCAATATGATATCTTTACATGCAAACATCAAAATTTAAACAACAGCATAACCCGGGAATTACCTTGTACAAAATTAGATATAGTCTATTATAAGAACAGAGAATTACCTTACCGCGGCGCATGCTCATATTTTTGCTTCCGTTTCCTATATCAACAAATGTACATGACCGTAGTATATTCACATTATTGATAATAATTCATGGTGTATTTTTGTTTTAAAGATGTTTATAAATGAAAAGATGTTATTTCTATTCATTTTGTACATGCATTTTGTCAATGATGCTTTTTATTTTCACTTGCCCTGTCGGACAAGTGCTTTTCAAAATAACTTGCCCGGACCAAACTTTTAGTTGTCCCGGGCAGTCGGACAACCGTTAATGTCGAGCCCTGATTATGCAATGATCATGACGTTTATGTCACTCACGAAATTACTAGGTTATTACTACGAATTATATGGCCTTTTCGTAATTCAAATAATTGATTAAATGCTTTTTAAGTAGAGTTTATAATGATTATATATATAGCATCTTTACTGTATATAAAATAATCGAATGTTTTATTAACAATGAAATAATAAATATAATAATACTTAATTATATACACTATCCGAATTCGGCCCTGTCCTAGAGTCAACACTTTTTCTGTCAGTATAACATTCTCGTCACATTCTCCTCATATGTTAGATAATTTTTAGAAATCAAAGTAAATTGAAAAGTATATAAAGAATATTAAGCATAAAGTATGGATGAATGTATTTCAAAGTATAGATGCTTATAATTATAGTTTGACAAAATCTCTATTAAATACTTAGACAAAATATCTATTAAAGCTATTAAAAATTGTTTTTATCATCTTGAATTAATGTTTACTTTTATTTTTCTTACAGGGAAACCGATTACTGATCAAACCAGTTCCAACCAGTTTCAAATGGACAGTAAACCACTTTTTAAAAATACTTAATTGGCACCCTAGCTGTGTATTAATCAGATTATCACTAGTATCTTTTTCAAATACAATATACCACCCCTAGGGCATCATGTGACATTCCGGAGGGCTTAATTGGACCACATGTTTATAACTTATTTGCTAATTGTGATTATCTGAACTGATTAAGAGATAAAAGACATGTTTTAATAAATAACAAATCCTTTGTCTTCACTGGAGCTTCGTGTTATCTTTAATAAATGAAATGAAATGTAATACAGGTCTCTGTTGTAGGGTAAAAATGGCAACATATGAAATAAGAACACAAAATTTAATGTATATATATTTTCATTACTTATTTTTCTTTTATTGTCAATCCTCGTAAAAAAGTACAACAGTATGATACTTTTTTCTCCATACTTGAACTGTAATCCTAGCCTCGATAAGAAATTAAAATCTAAATCACAGTTCTTGTGCCAGATATGTGCTTGTAAGATTGATTATATATCAATCATAAATACATGAGGGTAAAATAAATTATAATAATTGAAACACATTAGTTCATGAGCATTTAATACAAAGGCCATTTTATTTTACAATGTCTTTTTAACTGTGCTAATGTTAAAAACATAATAATGAAATAAATAAAAATAAACCAACAAAATAAGGAATCACCAGATGCAGCTTATGCACATTTTATAATCAATTTAATTTGTTTTATTATGTGTCAGAATCCTTTCTACTTATATTTGCACTGTATATGAGACAAAACTAATCTTTTTACAGTGTTGTACATAAATTGTAAATTTGATTAAATTTTTGTAAATCACATATTTGTCGTGTAGTTTGTTACCCTACTTTACAATCACAGTGGGACGGAATTATGTCTTCTTCGATACTGCTACCCAGGATTGATGTGGATCCCCATTAAAAGATTTATATACTGAATGAATGTTTAAAAAAAAGTTTGCCTTCATTAAAAGGTTTCAGGTGCCCTTTATCTTAATTTGGAATACTGTTTGTACCAAACTAGAAATGAAGACGTTGTGAGCCTGTAAACGTATGTGATATTTCATTGTTGCTTTTGTATAGACACTTACAACATACAATTTTTACTTTTAAAACGTATGTCCCAGCTTTTGATTCACATGAAACACAACAGGTGTAATACACCAGCTCATCTATCTCTGCTGAACTGTAAATATTAATAAAAAGATATTATGTGCAGAACACATATAAAAATTCAACAAAAGACATTGCTGAAACTTAACATTTAAAGTGTATCTATTTAAAGAACTCCCAAAAATATCCACCCAACCCCACCTGGGGATGTACACTTTTCATATTTTTTAAAAGACTTAATTACGTATGTTAGAACTATCATGCAAAACGGAAAGTCTATGATCAGTCCTTTAGTATTTTCTTAAAAATATGAGGCTAGATCTATATGTATCACATAGCTGTCTCTTAATGTATACAATGTATACCTGCTAAGCGTAATCATAAATGATTTTGAAGCAGTATTATGTAGATGCTAATTTCAGCATCCCAGTAAGCATGTTTATGGCCGCTGGAGACAAACTTTTCAAAGCTAGGACTCTGCGAATGCTTAATCAAAATTATCATATGAAAATATCTCAAGTAAACAGGTTTCTTCTATCAAATAAAGAAAAATATTGGTTGCAAATTGTTTCAATATTCCTACAAGTTTCTTCTTTCATAAATATTTGAATGAACACAAAGCTACAGCTTCACAATTTCAAGAAAAATCATGCTTTGTCTTTCACAAATTAAAAAGACCCCGACCTCATTACAACTTCTGAATTAGTGAATACAAACTGATAATTTATTTGTTTTGGATAAATCATACATGTACGAGGTTGATCAATAAGTTTGTGTCATAATTAAAAATTGTATTTTGAAAGCTTTAAGTAAATCAAACAACTTTTAAAATATTTGTACAATATATTATAATGGTTTTACAATGGTAGCATATGATACCACCTTAGGTCAAGTGAAAAAAAAGATAAAAAATGTACATGCAGCCCACCAACTACAAATTTATGTGAACCAGTCATCAAATTTAGCACTGACCCGGTAGCCCATTGCCAGCAAAATTAGTTTGGGCCAGTGAAAATTTTAAGAAAATTTAGTTAAATATATAGTAGAATAGATTCAAAACTGGAATTCGGGCTAGTAAATTCAAAATCTTCAATTCATCCACTGGTGGACACTAGTGAACAGGATTAAGGTATGGGTAAATAAGGATTTTAGGTATGGATTAGCTATTCTCACAACGTGAATAATTTCTAGTGTAATCATGCTCAACACAAAAAAAACAAGATGAGACGTCCTAAAAATTAGTGTGTTGGCCTACAGGTGATAAATATGTTGTTGTTCTGTGTTTCCAGAGATTTACCTCAGTATGGTCATAAACAATGGCAGTCGTACTTTGGCAGAACATTTGATGTTTACACGAAATTGTGGAAGTTTCAGCAGCAACACAGGTTATTATGTTTTATTGTATGATCATTAAATTTATGCAAGTAATGACTTTTTTGGCCATTTTTAAAAAGAATAGTCAATATTATACTGGTGAAATTGGGAAAATGTTCATTGTTTTCCCTGAATTGGGAAAATTAAAAAGAGTGTAAAACAATATTAAAAAGCAAGGAATAATGCTTCACAGGACATACACTTTATCACTCCATAGTGGTATATTAAATAAATTGGGATATTATTTAACTTACATACATGTATATTATTAATGGTTATAGAAAGCATGCATGTGTGCATTTTAATTGATTGTTATCTTGTATTCAGAACACCTGACACTATTCTTGTTGAGGTTATCAAACAGCATGGATCCAGACCAGCCTGCGCATCCGCGCAGTCTGATCAGGATCCATGCTGTTCGCTATCAGTTTCTCTACTTGTAATAGAGTTGGTAAGCGAACAGCATGGACCCTGATCAGACTGCGCGGATGCGCAGGCTGGTCTGGATCCATGCTGGTCGCAAATGACTATGTTGGTTTTGTCGTGACACGGCTAATTTTTGTTGGACATACATGGAACAGGCATACATACAAAAGTGGCACAACAGGCATACATACAAAAGTGGCACAACTTGGTTTTTGATTTATATACACAATGTATATTTTACATGTATAACAGAAAAACCTAATACTAAACCTTATATTAATTTAACAAGAGTTACACATATGTACATGTACATGTAATTGATGCTGTGACATTTACATATTAAGTGCATGACTGAGTTGGAAAAGCTGCATGCATTTATTATATGCTTGGAAAATAATGAATTTTGAATAAATGAATGCAAGATATAGATGCATTGACACTGTTTTCTTGTTTGTTTTTAACAGGCAAGTTTTAGATGTAAAGTATGGATTAAAACGGTGGCAGATAGGTGAAGTAGCCTCTAAAATTGGACAGCTTTATTACCATTATTAGTAAGTATTTTTTTTTAATTCTTAATAAATCATTTTCCTTCCACGATGTACGCGTAAAGTAGGAAGAGCAAATGATTTATCCATGTAAAATTGGTAATTACTGGTAAGTTAACCAGGAAAGCTGAGATAAGACCATAATGTCGTCACCTTAGTGCAAAAACTCAATAACTGCATATAGATAAAGAAGCAGATATTGAGTTCTTGCACTAAGGTGACGATGTGTTAAATCAGCATGAAAGTTAGAAAAACAAACAGCTTATTTCAAAAGACTTAAATTTGTACCCTTAAATGTTGTGGACACAGAAGTAAAAATCTACCAAGAGAAATAGCTTCCTGGCCAGCTTAAGTAATGTTGCACATGGGTATAAATCCTCACATAGAAGCCAGCATATAATTATGAGGCTTTGAATGGTTTACTCCTGTAATTGCATGAAAGGACAATTAGGCTTGTTTTTGGTTTAGACCTATTGTACTCATGTTGCTGTCATAGTCTCTGTCACACTTCTGTTAACTTTAGCATGCAGGTTAGTATCTCCAAAACAACTCAAGATAGTAGGTTGAAACTTCACATAATTGACTTGAAACTACATTCACTTAATATAATTTGTTGGACACAGGTGCAGTACCTTTGAGGTACTTCTTTACAGAGTTATGCCCCTTTTCTTACTATTAAGCACTTAATATAGTTGAGTGTTATGTCTTACAGACTTCTTTTGTTTCAGTATACACTGTATATCTATATAAATTACCAGTAAATAGACTCATTCCCAGTGCCAAAACTTCAGGTTCTTCCAAAATTCCTCAGTCTGCATTTATTTTGTTGTTGATTTTCTTTGTTAAAGTATTTTTTTTATCAAAAAGGGAGCCCTTTAATATGATCAAATTACTAATACTACTAGAACATATCAATACAAAGGCTATCAATGATAGATTTTCTATTGTTCATTATACATGTCTGTTCAATATAGTTATTATTTGTTATTTTGACATTTTCTTTTTCCCAATTTTGACATTTTCTTTTCCAAATTTTGACATTTTCTTTTCCCCTATTTTGACATTTTCTTTTTCCCAATTTCAATGGTGTTGGTTGTGTTCACAATAGGCCTGAAGCTTGTGATGTTCCTCCACCAGAAAACCCAGAAAAAATTCAATATCCATAGTGTAGTTAAAAGTTTTAGTTCATTTAAGGGCCTGCCCAATAAATTTATATATGAGCCGCGTCACAACAAAACCAACATAATAGGTTTGCGACCAGCATGGATCCAGACCAGCCTACGCATCTGGGCAGTCTGATCAGGATCCATGCTGTTCGCTTACAAACCCTATAACAAGTAGAGAAACTGATAGCGAAAAGCATGGATCCTGATCAGACTGCCCAGATGCGCAGGCTGGTCTGGATCCATGCTGGTGGCAAACCCATTATGTTGGTTTTGTCGTGAGGCGGCTCATTATTGTTTATATTTTATAGTAAGTAATTAGACCTTTGAAGAGAAGATGGAATTTTTTTTTGCTCTTTGTATCCTATAGTAGAGAGATCAACAATGTTAACATGAAATGAATTCTTTGCCCATATGAAATATAATTTAAAAAGAATAAATTTTTATAGTTAACAAATCAAATAAATAATTTTAAATACCAATAACTGCACATTGTTGCATCTAGGCCGCGCGATTGCGTGTTTTACGCATTTTTTATGCAGATCGCGCATTTTAATTAAATCAATGCGCATTTGATGATCTTTTCAACTTAATTCAATTTATCTTCATCGTATCTTGATCAGCCATGTTTGTTTTCACTCGTGGTAATGACTAAAATACTTACTAAATCGCGTGTAGCAGCCAACTGGGTCATCTTGCGTGTGTATTGTAGTATTCGTCAATATTTTATTTTTCCAATTTCCGTTGTTGAGCGGACGCTAGCTGTCAAAAATGCCTGAACGTAAAATAAATGAATTCTTATCGGTACGTCATATTGTAAGATAAATGTATGTCCCCCACATTGTTTTCAAATCCCCCACATTTTTCAGTTGAGTGGGTGACAATCCCCCATAATTTTGAAATTCTATATGCAACACTGAACTGGCATACCAATCTTGTTTGCAAGTAGAGCTGGTATGTATAAAATAAGTATAAAAACGTCTTGTTTATATAGGTAGGGAAAGGTAAATTACAGGGTTTAACATGGTTGAAAATTTCTCTTAGCCAGATTTATGCCACTGTTTGATCTAAACTGGATCTAAATTGCACATCATTGGCAAGAAATCCTTTAGCTAAAATTCAAATAAGTAAAATTTTAGCTTATTTTTAAAATGGCCAATCACAGAGTGAAAACCCTGAGGGCTTTTTTTCTCAGGTTAGGGAAGGGGCTCTTCCGTTAAATTTTGGTAAAAATATAACTTGGTATTTTTGCAAAAGGGATAGAAAAAACTTTTTACATAAACTAATTTTAAGGAAAAAACTACATTGTATATGATTTTTCAAAAAAGGAATTTACCAGAGTTGGAGAGGCTTTAATGAACAAACCTTGCTTATAAAAGAAGGGAAAAAAACCTGGCCTTAAATTATGTATAAGCTTGAACTACAATGGAATATTTCTACATTATACATGTTAAAAGAAAGAAGAGATCATCTTTTGTCTGTAGATGATATATAATTTTATAACAGCTTACATAATGATCACGAGTATCTTAAATTCTCCTGTCTTTCATCTCCCCCACACACAGTAATTGTCTGCCGTAATGAACATTGCTAGAACACTAGATACAGTGCATGGCCACTGGGGAGTTACTACTTGTTTTATTACATGTCCAGTAAATTGGAAAGAATTCTCCCGGATGATGTAAAACTATATCTAGAGGTCAGAGGTCAACTGTAGACAGTTAGGAGGTGAATTGTAATCATAAATGATGTTATAATATATCCATAAATCATTTTCCTTCAGAAAACTGTAAAGTTGATTACTCTCTGCATGCTGGAAAAAAATTGTCTGTTGAATGTTGTCTGCTTAACTTTTTTTTATACATTTGTAATTTTATCCAATATTCTTGAAAAGAAAAAAAGCACAAAGAAAACATAGCTGTTCTGATACCAAGCTGATATACTTCACTGGTCTGATACCAACTGAGTGGTTAAGGTCGTTGACTTCAAACCCCTTGCCCCTCACCTCTGTGGGTTCGAATCCCGGCAGGGACTTTGATTCTTTCATGTGAGGAAGCTATCCAGCTAGCTTATGGAACGTCGGTGGTTCTACTCAGGTATACTGTGTCGATGTGATGTAAAACCCAAAACAAACAAAACAAAACCAACTGTGTACATGGCATCTAGTCTGATACTAATTTGATGTACTTGGCATCTGATACAGGTACCAAGCTGTATTGTTAGTAGGTGGAGGGGGGCTACACATCATTTGTCAAGACACCCCCCCCCCCCCCTGATATTAGGCAAATTATGTCAAAAGATTTAACTTTAAAGGAAAAATGACTCTCGGGCCCCGGGATTTAAAACAAAAAGACCTTTGGGCCCAGTGGGGACATTATTTAGCGGGGTTAAACATCTATTTAATTTTTTTCCCTTTTTGACAAAATTAACTTATTTTAAATGTGACATATAACTTATATAAGTATGATATATAACTAAAATAAGTATGACATATAACTTATATGTATATGACATAACTTACATAAATATGACATATAACTAAAATAAGGATGACCTATAACTTATATAAATATGACATATAACTATTATAAATATGACATATAACACTATAATAAGTATGACATATGATGATTATATATATATGACATATAACTTATGTTCACAATTATATATGTGTCACAATTAAAACCAAAAATAAACAATTCCAACTGTAAGGGTCCATAGGTCATGCTTTGAAAATTCTTTAACATCACACTGTGTTTTTAGTTATCTGTCAATAAAGTGTACATCACAAATAAACAACCTGTCTCACATGAATCAATGCATGAACTTATCAATTATGAAAAAGGCTGTTGACTGTTTATTGATGTTGAAATAATAGCTAGGTCATTACAGCTAATTATTGCATAGAAAATAAGGTAAATTTTCTCCTGTTTAACAGATACCGCTAGTTATAGCATAGGGTGGTTTTGGGTTATTAGTTTTTTTATTTACATTTAAACTGTAAATTTAAAAAATTTTTAAATGGGGACGAAAAAAAGAAAGAAAAATTGGGGTCTTTTCCATAAAAGTAAACCCTGAGGGGTTTTAAATTTTTCCCTTTTAAATTTTTTCTTAAAATTTAAAAGACACAGTACTTATGGGGTAAAAGATCATTAAAAGGTTGCTTGTAGGGTTTTAAAGATAAAAAAGTCAAATGAATATCCCTATGATGTTAACCTGAGGACTGGTCAGAACGCCCTTTCTTCTGTGCTTACATTTGGATACTTCTATGGCTACCCATTAAAATTTGTGAGATGTAATGACTAATGTATATAAAAAATGTATGTTATATTTCAATTTTAACAAGAATTATTAATCAGTCACATTTATCCTTGTAAAAGATCAATAAAATTAATAGATTACTTAATCGATTACCCATCCCTTGACATTAAAATATGTTTATATCACACTGTTTATGATGAATTATCATGTGTTGTAAAAATGTATTTCATTAAGATTGAATGATAAATATTTTACAGTAACTGTTATTATATTGACAAGGGAGACTTGAAAACAGTTTAATACTGGATTAAAATTTGCACAAGCTTCTTAATTAGGCCTTGGTATTTAAGTCCTTCAACATCATTAATTGGTGCTCTTGAATAAAGTTTTTAGGGACACTTTTAAAAATTTGATGGGAACTTGCATCCACAATTATTCGTAATAATCTCGGAGTTTATGGGGATTGAAAGTAGTTCTACCACATGTCTTTAGATGTAACCATACACAGAGCTTGAAATCTTTGTTTAATAAGTAACAAATTCATTTATTTTAGACCATTGGAAAATGAAAGTCAGTTAAGGTAAAATTAAATTACGATTGAAAATATATATCAGAGAATCAGAATCATAAATGAATACATACAATTGTAGAACCAAATCTGAAATTTTGTTATCTCAGGAATACAGTTGGTACTTTAGGCTTCTAAAGACATAATGATAAGTTAGTAAATAAATAATGTACTTTACATGTATATCTATTATATAGATTACCTAACTTAATTTTATTGATGGTGCGAAGTAAAAACCCAACCAAAAAAAAAATTGTTGAAGTTGTACATAATATAATGAATATTAATGAACTCAACAATTCCTAGCATTTACATACTATTTTGTTAACATATTTAGTGGTTGTTCGTGACTCGGAGTGGTAAAAGTGGTTGACTTCAAACCACTTGCCCCTCACAGCTGTAGGTTTGAATCCTAACGGACTTCTTTCATGTGAGGAAGCTATCCAGCTAGCTTGCAGAACGTTGCATCTGAGGCTTTCCTCCGGCAGTTAAGCTGGAAAGTCCCCATATGACACCTCCTGTGTTTATGTGACGTAAAAACAAATAAATAAAAAATACATACTCATGATACTGTGATACATAAACCTTTATGAAGCTGCATTATTGTGCTTTTAAAAAGAAAATAAAACAAAACACTCTTAAATTCAGCATTTATTGATGTTGATAATAAATTGCTCTTATTCTTAAATAATTACCGCTTTGGTATTGATCATGAATAGTATTTGTATATGAATTATTTACTGTTGATGCATCATTTATTTTGTAAATAATGATTTACTATAAAAAATGTACAATATTATGTGTATCGTGGGCGGGAGGCCTTTAACTACAATAAAACGTAATGTTGTGTTATGTAATATTATGTTATGTTATGTGTTTGGTCACATTGAGATACTTTGATACAGCAGTTACTATACAAAATGATTTGCTTAAATCTATAGGTACATGCAGTGTTACAATTCCCTTGTTGGTGCTATACTATATAGTCAATTATAGGAGTATTGTAATAGTGTTGGTTTTATTGACTGGAATTAGGCATAGTTGCAACATAATTATTTTCTTGCCTCCTAAGCATTTACCTTCAAACTTACATTAACATTAGGAAGGTTCTTAATGGCTTTTGGATGGCCTCTGTAATTTTGAAGTTTAAGTCATTCCAAGGTCAAATTCACAGAGACCTTTAACATGATAAAATGGTCCTCTTAGTTAAAATTCTAAAGAACCATTTTGTTGACTTCAACTCTCATACCGGTATTTACAGCGCCAGTTCTTTATGGCTAGCAGATGGCACCTGTTGATTTAAAAGTAAGTTTAGGGTCAAGGTCACAGCGCCCATCAACATGAAAAATAGTCATCTCATTTTAAATTTTAAAGAACCATTTTGTCTACAACTGTCATTTTTACAAAGCAGGTTTGTAGATTCATGGCTAGTAGATGATCCCTATTGATTTTAAAGTAAGTTTAGGGTCAAGGTCACATTGACCTTCAACATGAAAACATTGTCCTATCATCTAAAATGATAAAAAACCATCTTGTTTACAACCATCATGGTCACTTGCATTAGGCAGGTTCTTTATAGCTAGAAGATGACCCTTTTTATTTGAAGTGAGTCAGTTGTAGGTCAAGTTCACTATTATAAACCTTCCACTTATTAATGTTCTGCTAAATAACTTAGTAAATATTAAATGTGCATGGAGCATGATCATGGTCAGTTATAGGTGACACCTGTAGATTTTGAGGTCAATGGTCAAGGTTGCAGAGATATTCAACTAATTCAGTCATTTTCTTTAGTAAAAAAAGCAGAAAAAAAAAAGATTGGTCATGGCCAGAACGTATCTATGTAGTAGGTCTTTTGTTCAAATCTCAGGTACTTGAATGTGCCTCAAATAATGCCTGTTTCACATGGGTCAATGTCAAGGTCACATGGGGTTAACTGGTTAGAATAATTTGATGAAAAGTTACTTTCAATAGGAGAAGGAAAGATATTCGCAATGCTAATAAAACAGAAGATAATGAGTTTGGTTACAGAATTGTTAGTGAATGATTATTGGGTACTATTTGAACTGAATAGAATTAAGGTCAGTGAAGTCAAGGTCACAGTGGTTAAGATAATTGAAGAAAAAATATTTGATTGTACTATTAAATAAATTAACAAAAGGTGTTGAAAGTTTTGTCTCCTCATGTAGAGGCATAATGATGTGTCAATGGGTCAAGGCCATTGAAGTTCGAAATAGATGCAGTGAGTGTAAATATTTAATTACTTAATAATCACCGAGCCGCTTGTATGAATGATATGGAAAATAAATCAACAGCAGAATGGAGAAAAATCTACAGCAGAGCTCCCCCCCCCTTCCCCCCCCCCCCCCCCCCCCCCAAAAAAAAAAAGAAAAAAAAAAGAAACCACAAAAGCACACCAACAGAAACAGTGTTATGATTTTATCATAAAATTAATGTTGGGGTGAAAGTTATTGGATAACCCCAATGGTACTGTTAGGAAGCATGAAATATTGACTAAGGCAGTTAATTAGTCTGTCCGTAGCAACAAAGTTTTTGATCTGAACAATATTAACAATGCATGATGTCATAACCTTGATACTGTTACACTTACACTTTGTTATATTTTATATCTTACATATTTGATTGGTTTATATTTTCAGTTTACGTACAAGTGAGACAAACTATTTAAATGAGTCTTTCTCCTTCTACTCAGCAATAAGAATGAGAGCCTACTACTCAAAAGCAAACAAGGAAGAAAGGTGAGAATGCTTGCGTAACTATTGTAAGTCCTTCTTTATTTCTTATACAAGTTAGTGCTGTTTTGCAGTCAACCCTTGGAAAATTTATGTTATACATAAGTGTGATATAAGTCAAATTGATCAAACTGCAGAGATTGAAAATTGGACTTGTCTGCTAGTATTATGAGTAGAGAACTTGATGCACAACAATGTTGCCTACATGTTGGACTTGGAAGCTACTTGTCCTACAGGACAAGACGTTGAGTGACTCTGAAAATACTTTTCGATGCCTGCACTGTTTGAAACTGTTCTCGGTCTGTACATTGAATAGCACTACAAAGTAGAACGCATTACATTTAATAAAGGACTTTCATGTTGTAAACTTGTGTCATTTTCGGACTTATTATTTGGTGGCTTTGGCCTTGAAAACAGAAAGTTTAACCCACCTTTAACTAGGAACACGCTTGGCCTACAGTCATTAGATTCATTGTGAAGGTCGGTCATGACGATTTGGTGGACCCTATTTGTTTTAGGGTCATAACTACCAGATTTCCATGGAGAGGTCATATATGTACATGTTTCACAAAAATTTCTTGTTTCTGCATCATAGCATGGTTCTCTTAAAAGTGTCAAAAACTGCTCGTACCTCTTAATGCAATATTTAACACACTCACTAAATTTAACAAATGTTCTCAATAAGTAAGTAAGACAGCCTCCTTTTAAGCATAAAGATACAGTATTTATTATTCAATAAGAAAGGGACATGAAGACAGCTGTGGCCAAGTGGTTAAGATTGCCAACTTCAAATCACTTGCCCATGGCTGCTGTGGGTTAGAATCTGATCTGAGATTTTGGATTCTCTCATCTGAGGAAGCTAATCAGCAAACTTACGGAAGGTCAGAGGTTCTGCTCAGATGTGCACTATGCCTGAAATTATGCACTAAGGGGTAAAGCTTGTGAGGTATTTGTCCACCAGTAAAGCTGCAATAGTCAGTCATCATATAGTATTATACTCTTAACTGTGTCGGCATGACTTAGAATTCTACAAAACTGTTACTGTTAATAACCAAACCATTAGAAATGGTACAGTCATTGGCTCTTGTGATGCAGGATGCTTGGAAAAAAATGAGGGAAAAACTGAAAATGCTCTGCCCCTTTATGGAAACCAGTTATTTAATGACCCTAAAAGCAAATTCTGAAATGAATATTATTATTTCAGACCGGATTTAATGGTGAAGAAATTGAGATTCTACGCTAGATTTATTGTTGTTTGTTTACTGTTGAAGAAAATGAAACTGGTTAGAGACCTGGTACGAGTAAGTAAATACTGCAATCTTATTTTATTTATATGATGTTTTCTCTGTTTTATATGTCACATATGGAATGACAAAGCATTTTAATACATATATGTCCATTATGGAATGGCAAATCATTTTAATATGCCATGTCACATATGGTATGGGAAGCTTTTTAATATGTCAATTAATTATGAAATGGCATTTAAGCATTTTAAAATGTCACATATGGAATGGCAAAGCAATTACAATATTTGATGTCACATATGGAATGGCAAAGCATTTTAATATGTCACATATGGAATGGCAAAGTATTTTAATATTTGATGTCACACATGTAATGGCAAAGCATTTTAATATGTCACATATGGAATGGCAAAGCATTTTAATATGTCACATATGGAATGGCAAAGCAATTACAATATTTGATGTCACACATGTAATGGCAAAGCATTTTAATGGAATGGCACATTTTAATATGTCACATATGGAATGGCAAAGCAATTACAATATTTGATGTCACATATGGAATGGCAAAGCATTTTAATATGTCACATATGGAATGGCAAAGCAATTACAATATTTGATGTCACATATGGAATGGCAAAGCATTTTAATATGTCACATATAGAATGGCAAAGTATTTTAATATTTGATATTTTAAAACTTAGGTAAAAAAGCAATGGCACAAGCAATGGTGCCATTATTTATCGCAAAAAAATATAAGATTTGTAAGCATTGGCAAATATTAATGAAATATTGCCAGGATAAATGACAAGATGATAATAATTTTTTTTCTCAGCAATATTGCCATTTTTGAATACTAACAAACACACATGTCCCAGCATAAAGCAGATATTTTTGTTATGTTGCAGGAGTTGTCGAAGCAGATAGACGATTATACAGGAACATATGAACCTGAAGATCACATGGAGTGGAATCTAGTCCTTGGAGAAATAAAAGCATTTATAGAGGTAAATTTATATGATTGAATAATATCTTTTTATTCTATAAACCAGGGTACAGGAGTGTAATAAACCCATTTAAAAAAATGATATTATATTTTGTTATAATTCTTTGACATGACATCATTTGTGTTATATACAAGCAAATTGTTATCATATATTTAGGCTGACAACCTTATATTTTTGGTGTTAAAAGTTTGATATTATCTATTTTTAGGCTGACAACCTTATATCAGTGGTGGACGTGGATGCAACCGCCATTGTTTTATCTCACAGATTGACGCCATTAAATACCCCACCACTAGACAAAATGTCACATGTACATTTTACATTGCAAGAAATCATTATAGTTGGCAATACACATGAACAGGTAATGTATGCATTTTCACATGCATTTGTTCCGATTCAAAATTTATCTAGTGTTGGTGTTCTGCTGTGTGTCTGATCAAGTTTGTTTAAATTTCTTAAAAGCTCTCTTTCATCCCATTTTAGCATGCCCTGTTATATCTTAAAAGTACTATGTCACCCCATTATAGCATGCCCTGTTATAATGCTTACCTCAGTATGATTGCTCATAGGCCTTTTTATGCGGTTATGACGCTGTGGACCCCAACTTGAGCATTACAACGGGGTTTCAGTGTAAAACAGTTTAAAGTTTTAACTTGAGTGAACTTCAATATTTGCTGAAATGTTGAGCTTTTAACCTATGTGTTTCGATCCCTGTACATATGAGAACAAAATATTAATTATGTTTCAGGTTAAGTTCAGTGAGTTGACGTTGGACATGTTTCGAATGTTGCAGACGTTAGAACGGGAACCGCAAGAGGAATTAACCAATCAGATATATGATGCATCACCGGCACCTGGACGGCAACCATTTGTATGTTGACCTATATAATTATTATCTCCTTTGTATTACATTTTGATGTATAGTGTACTCAACTTATAACAATATTGGTATATTTTGTAGAGTCCCAGTGTCCCTTAGTGTAAAATATATCTTTAGAAATTAAAAGGAGACAAAAAAATCAGAAAGTTCTCCCACAAAAGTTTGATGTTTGATTAACTTTCATGTTCCTGCTGTTAATTACTTAATTTTCATATTTCAATAAAAAATCTTCATCTGTAGTGCAATTAAATACATAGAGGATATTGAATCAGTGTAAGATTAATACTGACGAGCAAAATATTATTTTATTCAACGAGTGCAATAAATTCAGTAATGAACTTACACGAATTTAATATTCTATTTATCACATACCCAAAATAAAGACCGTTTAAAGTAAAATAAGAGTCATTTTTCATTGACGCGCCCATAGTATAACGCTATCATTTTGCGCGTCTTTACACTATGTTTGTTAACGCTGATGACGTCACGTCAAAATATATGCACAGCCGTGCAATACCATATTTACGGAGTCGCAAAATCGGCACGGGTGTGTGATAATTAGAGTTACTTGCCTGAATATACTCTTGAAAAAGAAGGCTGTTATAATAAAAAGTGCAAAAAGGAAAAAGCAGCCTGATGGTGTATGAGTTCTGAATTTGTTCCGTCCTGGTTTTGATAAGAAGTGGTTATAAAGAGAAACCATATGTAGTCCCTGTTGTCAGGGTGATCTCAAGGAACCATGTGTTGTTCCAGTGATCTCAAGGAACCATGTGTTATCATGGGTATATCAAGGAACCATGTGTTGTCCTGGGTATCTCAAGGAACCATGCATTGTCCTGTTGATTTCCAGGAACTCATGGAACCATGAGTTGTCCTAGGGATCTCAACAATCTCAAGGAACCATGTGTTGTGCTGGAGATATCAAGGAACAATCTGTTGTCACAGTGATCTCAAATACCATGTGTTGTCCCAGCGATCTCAAGGAACCATGTGATGTCCTGAGTGGGCTTTATAGACTCTGATTTCCATTTGTGATACAGGCAGGCCTATTTAACCAGTTCAGAACAAATAATATTTGCCATCAGGAGAATTTAACATTTACCCTACTCGAGACGAAAATGATTTACCTTTGTCACCAGTATATGTACCAGGCCAACCTGAGCAGGTTAACCAACTTTAAATGTTCATCTTGATATCCCAATATTTGATAATGGACAGTTCCAAAACTGGAAGCTAAGCAAGTCCATGTAAGAAATTCAGCAGGTTTATGATATTACAGCAACGTCTCTGCAATGTTTTAGATAGTTGAGAGTGGGTTGAATAAGCCAAATTGTTACCTCCTGTCTTTGGAGCATACTAACTCTGCTAGTGGAATGTGACCAGTGCAGACCAAGATATGACCACACATCCATGACGTCTTAATCATGGTCTGCATTCTTCACTATTCAGTCAGTACTTATTCTGAAATTTCCCCAAGAAAAGATCAATGGTTTTCTCCAAATTGGAAGATGGCAAAGTACTTTTGCAATATTTAGGGAGGTCAAAGGTAAGCATGTATTACAGATTAGTTTGTTTGTTTTTACTATAGGAGAATGGTGACAGGCCCAACAAGAGGGAGAATCCACACAAATACTTACTGTATAAACCCACGTACAGTCAGCTTAACACATTCCTGGCCTCGGGATTTAAAGAACTACCTCCTAATGGGGCCATGCTGTTGTATATATCGGCAGATGGTTGCCATGGAAATGCAAAACATACTGATGATGGTAAGATACAGATTTTAGAATGTATTTAATGAATTTGACTAAAAAGAGCACCACACTATATACTGTATTCCAGTATATACCGGACAAGGCACTTGAATGTTTAAATGCTAAAATCTTGCATTTTCACCCAATGGAATGAACTTTTAAAGGTCTAATTCATGTATTTACACCGATTTATGTATGATAATGAATGAAAAATGTAAGAATTGGCAAAAAAACGATATTTTTCTCTTGTGATCATGATTTTTGCAAGCCTCTAGAGGTACTGTTCCAGTCTTGTAATGAGTTAAATCCGTATTTAAGGACCATGGATTTGAATATGGTCATTGAATTTCTTGTTTGTTTAGGAAATATATAATTATCTTGATTTACAGTACGGTAATTAATAAAGTACAGTATAGACTTCAGAGGCTCATGAATATATATGTAAATCACCAATACTGTTTGTAAGATATTGATTTGTCTTTATTCAGTAGCCATTGGTTCAAATACAGTTTGGGATGATGTTATCAGGAGTTTTCATGTAGATGTATAGGCAGAATTAAAACTTTTCAATAGAATTTCTTTAAACTTGACATGTTGTTACGATATGATGACAGAACTATTTTGAGCAAAAAAAAAATTTGGTGTCACTGATCTCATTTTAGATATCATTTTATAATAAACAGTTATAAATATGCATTTAAAGTAGAGTATTCTTTAAAAATGAAGCATTAATGAATACAATGTAAAGTAACATAGTTCATGAAATTAGAATAACATTTTTGACCCAAATACCTCACCATAAATTGAATATTCCTTGTTTATACTCTTTTTAGCTCGACTATTCGATAAGAATAAGTAGAGCTATTGCAGTCACCCGAGCGTCGGCGTCGGCGTAACCACTTATGTTAAAGTTTTTGTAATAGTTCAAATATTTTCAAAGTCCATAGACATATGGCTTTGAAACTTTGCACACTTGTTCACCATCATGACCCCAACCTGTAGACAGGAGGAGGTAACTCTATCAAGCATTTTGACAGAATTATGCCCCTTTTTCGACTTAGAATTTACGTTAAAGTTTTTGTAATAGTTCAAATATTTTCAAAGTCCATTGACATATGGCTTTGAAACTTTGCACACTTGTTCACCATCATGACCCCAACCTGTAGACAGGAGGAGGTAACTCTATCAAGCATTTTGACAGAATTATGCCCCTTTTTCGACTTAGAATTTACGTTAAAGTTTTTGTAATAGTTCAAATATTTTCAAAGTCCATTGACATATGGCTTTGAAACTTTGCACACTTGTTCAACATCATCACCCCAACCTGGAAACAGGAGGAGGTAACTGTATCAAGCATTTTGACAGAATTATGCCCCTTTTTCGACTTAGAATTTACGTTAAAGTTTTTGTAATAGTTCAAATATTTTCAAAGTCCATTGACATATGGCTTTGAAACTTTACACACTTGTTCACCATCATGACCCCAACCTGGAAACAGGAGGAGGTAACTCTATCAAGCATTTTGACAGAATTATGCCCCTTTTTCGACATAGAATTTACGTTAAAGTTTTTGTAATAGTTCAAATATTTTCAAAGTCCATTGACATATGGCTTTGAAACTTTACACACTTGTTCACCATCATGACCCCAACCTGGAAACAGGAGGAGGTAACTCTATCAAGCATTTTGACAGAATTATGCCCCTTTTTCGACTTAGAATTTACGTTAAAGTTTTTGTAATAGTTCAAATATTTTCAAAGTCCATTGACATATGGCTTTGAAACTTTGCACACTTGTTCACCATCATGACCCCAACCTGTAAACAGGAGGAGGTAACTCTATCAAGCATTTTTTTTACTATCAAGCACTAAGAATAGTCGAGCGTTGCTGTCCTACCGACAGCTCTTGTTGATGTTGAAAATTTTCTGTGGCAAAAACCAGCTTTACTTGAAATATTGTAAACGCTAACTTGTATTATGGAGAAAATTTTCTGTGCATTTAAAAGAAAGGAATTGGGAAATTTTTGTACAATTGTCTTATTTGGCTATGCTTCAGCCGCCTATGACCTTGGAGGTGTGGTAACAAACAGTAGACGTGACGGTGAGGTCACAACTACAACACCCGGTAAGCCTAAACGACCAGGAACACTCAAGGAAATGCATTGGTATGTTCACTTTAATCCCCACATTTATATCTGTAACTAAAATTTAACAAAATCGTTCTGATGCCTCAACTCTTATAGGCAACTCCTGTGAGCCACAAAGGAATGAAGTTTTTTTCGGTTCAATATTTTAAACTTAATTCCCTGGTGGCTGAGTGGTTGTCTTTCAAGGTTGAGGTATCAGAATTGCATCCACCATTTATTCCCGCTTAATGGTAAAAGGTGACAAAATGGGTTTTAATTACTTGAGGTTATGCATCTCTGAGCTCTAGCATGTGAGATGGTATTGACCTTTGGTGTTGCTTTAATTTTGCAACACCTGAAGTTAGCTAACATCATCTTACCTGTTTCTGAAATATATGACATAAGTTATGTTAGTGTGCCATGAAACCAATAAACAAACTTATTATGCTAGTAACAATGATTTGTTAATATACCGTCAATAGAGTACTAGGTCAGTTACCAGTTCAAAGCAAGACAAGTGGGCTGGGGATGGTTGAAGATTGAATTGCGGTATAAACACATTTAATTCCTCAGCTATGATATGTTTCGTATTCTTAAAATAAATATTTTTGTACTGATAAATGCTACACTATTATTTAGACAATCATGTATTCGTTGTTTTACATTTCATGAAGTTTACATCCTGGTGACTTGTACCCATACACAAGAAAACCTTTGTTCATCCTTGTTGACAGTGACAACAGCTCAGCATTCCAGGTAATAACTTTTTTGCCTTTATCAATAAGAAAAAAGTAGGAATGTATTATGTAGCTGCAAAAGCACTACAAATGCATTTTACTTAGCACAAGACTTGAAAAATACTAAATTAACCTCTTTAATCTAAAACTTTCCACCATTATCCATTAGACACTTTTACTTAAGGTAAACATGGATAATTTCCACTGAAATCACTTAGTGACTTACTGAAAAACCACTTAGGTGATATATGTGAAGATTTTCTTATAGTTTTACTTTAACAGTTCTCATATTAGTGTTTCAGTCAACAAGATGTACACAGTGTCCATCTTTTGAGTGCTGTTTCCCAGATATTTCACTTGCAGTAGCCTCTTAAATTTGATACACCTGTCATGGAGAGAACTGATAATACACATTGTTTATATTATTCATGTATTTATATATTACAGCACTTCCCCAACCTATTTGGACAGCCAGTGGTATGTCTGTTATCACCAGAGCAGGTGCCTACCACCATGCAGGGTATGTCTATCTCAGCTCCTTGATATAGGGCTGCCAATTTTCCTCATATTTGTAAAGTTCTGCGAATTTTACAATCTCAAAGACCTTTTTGAAACTGGTGTAAATTGTATGAGAAGTTGGATGGGTGTAAGATGGATGGATGTAAGATGTGTTTTAGGTCTTGTGCGTGATGATCTGAGATCGCTAATTCACGAAAGTTTATATTGTGCCTGATAATTGGGAAAAGGTGTCTGCAGTATTCCAGTTATTGGTCTTGCTTGTTCAACATGATCTATAATCCACACATCTTTCCCCTCTAGTAAAAAGCTGGCAAGTTGCCATATGACCTTTACGATGTAAAACCCAGAACTAAAATATATTTTCATTACCTATATATTAAATTGATTGTTTATTGCTTGAAACAAAGTAAGTCTATAAGAATAAGTTGAGTCTGCCAAACTTTGTCTTTGAAAAATGTTTTTGGTATTGCTTTAAAGGCTTATTATAAAATTTTGTAGGCATATATTTGAGTTCTTTTGAGTTTCTTTAACCCTGTCCTTGCAAGTAGCAATCAATTCTACCCATGGATGCATTTTTGTAGCTTAATTATAATGGAAGTTTAAAGGTTAATTCTTATCCCTGCTTAATAACTTCTATAAACTTGTCAATCTTTCAATCTGGACATGAGCATTCTTCATTCTTAGGGGAAACTTCAGAAAAAGTTCAGACCAAATTGGGAAAAGTGCCAGCCAAGTCTAGATTTGGCCGATGTATCATTCAGTGGTTGCATGGGTAGACTCTGTGGCTGCAAGCAGGCTAAGAGTTATATTATTACAATGACATATCTCATTTTGTTGACAATGACATTGTTATATTTTAGATATGAGACAGAAGGGCAACTTGTTCACGTTATTCCTGCATTGCCCCCTGATGGCGTTCTGCCATGTATGTAGTATTATAGATATCCCAATCACGATGTGGGACAAATGTCAAAACTACGTGGACAGATTCATGGCGGAGGCCAGTAAACTTTTTGTACGATCAAGATCCTTAGGTAAGTATCTGATTATATGTGTTACTTATTGTAGATGGGAAAGGTTCATAGAGCTTACTGTGAATTCACTTAATTTCGTGGGCATGTTACTTCATGGTTTTGTCACAAAGAACATTTACATGGGTTCTTAATTTTGTTTTTTTTACTTAAGGTAAAATGTAGATACTGTAATGGATAATAATCGTACAGCTACATTTTGTTGTATCTAAAATTTGTGGATTGACCTATGTCACTACGGAGTTGGGAGTTAATCATGTAAGGAAGCTGTTCCGCTAGCTTACTGACCGTTGGTGGTTCTACTCAGGTGCCTGAAATAATTTGTGGAGGTCTTCATCTGCCAGTATAGCTGGTTAGTCTCAAAGTTGCCTTTAAAGTGCAGGTGTGTCTTGAAATCACAAAAAAAAAAAAAGTTTATTGGTTATATTTATACATACACATCACTTTTTGTTTACTATGTATATGAAATCAATAATGGACTGATGTTTGATTATATGATCAGTTTACCCATGATGCATTTCAGATCACGCCTATATGCAGTTTATTGGTGACGATTTCCTACGTCTGCTAATGCTCAGATTTGTCTTCTGCTATATTGTTCTCATTCTTCACCGAGGATTTAAGGTAAACCAGTCATTTTTAGTCAACCTTGATTGAGATTAGTTATAATAAGTTGTTTTTATGCCCCTACTTAAAAAGGGCCGATAAAGTGCCAATAAATTGTTTGGTGGAGTCGATTTTGTTTCAAATTTGGTGGTGGTGTTGGTAGTTTTCACTACAGATCACGGCAGTAAGCCACATTGAAATTTCCAGAGCACAGTTCAGCCATCGCATCGCTCCTGGTCAAGCAGTTTACCAGTAAAAGTTTGCCTTCACTTTCGCAAGGAACTGAAACTTCTGTACATACCATAGTAGAGATACAGTGTGAATGACCATATAAAAGATTCCATGATCAATCACGAGTGACCTGAACCGTCCGGGAATCAAACCTTTGTTGCCTGATTCACAGTCCAACGCTCTACCTATTGAGCTAACCGGATGCCTTGTTCCAAATTTGCATCTTGAAAAACATCTTCTATACATGTATGGAAAAAACATTTATATCAGATTGCATGAAGATGACATTTATCATATCAAGCTTAAGATATATTGGGAATGACCCCCTCCCCATTCCCTGCCCTCCCCCCCCCCCCTTAACCCCCCCCCCCCAAAAAAAAGACTGTAAAGAGAGGTAATTTATAAATCTATGCTATGTGACATGATATGAAAATGTTTGCTTTTTTTTCAGGGACCTAGCTTTTATCCTGTATCCCACCCACCACTGCCAACGGAGGAAATTCTAGAACATCCTACACTTCGTAAAATTGTGCTAGATCTTACCGCGGTACTCGACTGTCGAGCCCTGTTTTCGGAACCAGGAGAAGGTGATATACACGGAGCAACGTGAGGTTATCCCACCATTATGTTAGAACCGGTTTTTTAATGAAATTTTTCCATTCAAAATACGCAAGTTTTTTTTTTTGTATACAAGATTTTCTGCTGGATATGTTAACGGTGTATTGACAGTACTTCTTGGAAAAAGGACTTGAAGAGGAACGTGAAATGACGTGAATCCAAAGTTATGGGTTAGAAGGTCGCATTGGGTTTTTTATGTTCGATTTATGTACTGCAAGACAAGTATGGTATATATGTATATGAGAAATTACGTAATTTGATTTATTTATAAATACACCCGTATATAATCGTGTATGTTTCTAAATTGATTATTTTTTCTTGTATTATTACGACTATAGAGGGTAAAAACTTTTGTCCCTTTCATAGAAAATATTCTAAACTTGATCTGTTGAGAACTACGGCAAAAAAAAAGACCAACACGGACAAAACCGAAAAAACATTCCAAGATATGATTTTTATTTGAAAATGGTAAAATAATTTTATCAAAATTTCTGATAGATTATTACCTATTTTACAATTGAGAGAAAGTTGATGTATATTTAATTTTTTTAACATTTGAGCCGCGTCATGACAAAACCAACATAATGGGTTTGCGACCAGCATGGATCCAGACCAGCCTGCGCATCTGCGCAGTCTGATCAGGATCCATGCTGTTCACTTACAAACTCTATTACAAGTAGAGAAACTGATAGCGAACAGCATGGATCCTGATCAGACTGCGGGGATGCGCAGGCTGGTCTGGATCCATGCTGGTCGCAAACGCACTATGTTGGTTTTGTCGTGACACGGCTCATTTACTGTATGATGATTTTTTACATACAATGAAAGCTTTCTGACTGAGAATTAGAATGAATGTTTTTTTAATATAATATATTATGTAAATCTCTTTCTCTAGGAAAAATATATATACATTTATGTAGCATTTGCCTTTTTCAAGACAATTTGTATTTAGAGACTAATCGGCTTTTTATATACCTGATATATGCACATGTGTATATATACAGGTAAAATATTGCATAGTACAAAAACAAAATGTATTCCCGTAGATTCTGAGAAATCATGTAAATTCTATATCTAAATTTAATTAATTTACATTTATTTATTTATTTATTTTTTGTAATTTTGTCTTCATTTATTTATTTACATTCAAATTTAAGATTTAAATGTATTTATTGTTAAAAAGTCAGTGTTATAATAACTAATAATGTGTCAATTTAATTTTATATACTCTAGGTTAAAAAGAAATGTCATAAAAAACTAAACTGAAAAATTGAAATTCCAGTTTATGAGTTTTATCATCAATATTGACTTATGTTGATTAATGGTATCTTGTGGGACATAATATAATGAAATTAGAAAAGTGGTCTTATATAATTGGCTTCCAAATTGACAGCTGATGGGTTCATTATCAGAGTGTTTTATAATCATATTTTAATGCTGCTTTTATTGTGTCGCCTCTAGGGAGTAGTGGCGACATATAGGGATCACTTCTCCGTCGTCTGTCTGTCCATCCGTCTGTCCGTCTGTCACAAAATTTGTCCAGACTACTCCTCATAAACTACTGGTGCAATTTCATCCAAACTTTACAGGAATGATCAGTACCAAGTGTAGTTGTGCATATTGTCAGCATTTTCCGGTTCAATGATTTTTGTCAGAGTTATGGCCCTTTGATAATTTTTATTTTTAAAGTTTGTCTGGACTACTTCTCTTATACCACTAATGCAATTTCAATGAAACTTTACAGGATTGATCTGTAGCTCAAGTCCTTGCGCATATTGCAGGGGTTTTCCGGTTGAATGATTTTTGGCCGAGTTATGGCTCTTTGATAAAAAGGTGTTTTTTCTGTGTGTTGCCAGATACACAAAAGCTTGTCCGGACTACTCCTCATAAACTACTGGTGCAATTTTATCCAAACTTTACAGGAATGATCAGTACCAAGTGTAGTTATGCACTCTCCGTCTGTCTGTCACAAAAATTGTCCCAACATGAAATTGGCCATCATGAGGCGACACATGTGATCACTGATCGTTAAAACGATATTGATGAACTTTTCATAAATATAAAATCATGTTCTGACTATTTAGAAATTTCGAGTGAACTGTTAAAATTTTAACTAAAAGGCCAGTTGACTAATATTTTTCTTATTTAGTCCGCCTTTTACTACGCACAAAAAAAGATATAGTGTCGAGTACACTACAACAATGTTGCAGTCTGATCACATACTGCCCTGCCCTTCTTTTCAAAGATTTTCTATTTTGATACTTGATTTAACTCTCTGATATTCATAGTGGACAGTGTCGAATTTAACCCTTAAAGTGACATCTAAGGGCATATAGTGAGTGAATGGTTGAAAGTAAAAATGAGTTTACAATTTGCTATAATTCCTTCCAATTTTTTGGTTTACTTTTCTTGAACAATTGATAACTCACATGGCCCAAGGAAATTTCTGTAAATATCCATCAGGCATTACCAGTAACATTTAGCTTTATAAAGAGTGAACATAATTATAGTAGGCAGACTAGTATTTTATCCTAAACATTTTACAATCTCAACTGTTGGTCAATTAACATTACAAAATTCAATATTTTGAAATATATAATCAATTTAGCTAATCTGCTAAACTTAAAAATAAGAAAATGAGCATAATTTCACACTTTTACCTGCTTGAACCAAAACAGATTTGCTTTTACCACCAGTGTTCATGTAGACCCAGGCCAGTGCACTCTTCCGTACAATCTGGCAAGGCCAGTTTTTAGCTCACTTGTCACAAAGTGACAGGGTGAGCTTTTGTGATCGCTTTTCGTCCGGCGTCCGTCCGTCGTCCGTCCGTAAACTTTTACTTTAAATGACATCTCCTCATAAACCACTAAGCCAATTTCATCCAAACTTCACAGGAATGTTCCTTTGGTGGTCATCTTTAAAAATTGTTCAAAGAATTTAATTCCATGCAGAACTCTGGTTGCCATGGCAACCGAAAGAAAAAACTTTAAATATCTTCTTTTAAAAAACCATAAGAGCTAGAGCTTAGATATTTGGCATGAAACATCTTCTAGTGAATGTCTACCAAGTTTGTTCAAATAAAAGCCCTGGGGTCAAAATTGGCCCCGCCCCGGGGGTCATTGATTTTCCCTATAAGCATATAGTAAAAACTTAAAAAATCTTCTTTTAAAGAACCCAAAGAGCTAGAGCTAAGATATTTATCATGAAACATGTTCTAATGGGTGTGTACCAAGTTTGTTCAAATAAAAGCCCTGGGGTCAAAATTGGCCCCGCCCCGGGGGGTCATTGATTTTCCATATATGCATATAGTAAAAACTTAAAAAAAATTCTTTTAAAGAACTCAAAGAGCTATGGCTAAGATATTGAGCATCAAACATGTTCTAATAGGTGTCTACCAAGTTTGTTCAAATAAAAGCCCTGGGGTCAAAATTGGCCCCGCCCCAGGGGATCATTGATTTTCCCTATATGCATATAGTAAAAACTTAAAAAATCTTCTTTTAAAGAACCAAAAGAGTTAGAGCTAAGATATTTAGCGTGAAACATGTTCTAATAAGTGTCTAACAAGTTTGTTCAAATAAAAGCCCTGGGGTCAAAATTAGCCCAGCCCCGGGGGTCATTGATTTTCCCTATATGCATCAGTGATTTTTTTACCTCTGCATCCCGAGTCCAGGACTCATTGAATTTGCTGTGGATGCAAAGTTTCAAATAATGTGCATCTTTTGATGCATACTTTTTCTGAGTAGGGAGTCCTGTCTGACAGGAATTTAGTAATAAATACCAAATTGTGTTCAAAGTATGTCAATCATATTCTAGGTCTGCAAATCTTCTACAGATAAGAAATAAATTTAATAATGTGCTTTACTATAGATAAGCATAAAAATATTAAGGAAAAGAAGTTTTGATTAATCTCAAACTAAATTAATTGAAATAAACTTACTAAATTCATTTGACAGTTTTAAATTTCAGTATCAGAAGCATTGTAATTAATGTAGAAATCAAATTCATTTTTTCTTTATTCCATTGTTAATATACCTTTTATATCACAAAAGCAATATTAAAATAGAGAAAAAAAGAATCCCTAAAGAGAGTCCAACACAACAAAATTGAAAATGTTGCAGGCTCGGTTTGATTGAGCCTGTTCATGGACTGTACTGGAAAGTGCAAGTTACCGTCCACACCCCCTAGCACCGGCTTAAGCAGAATTCAACATTTAACATGAAACTGGTGAAACAGTAGCGCCATTCCATGAAAAGCAGTGTATGGTCCCCAAGTAAAAGAATGCTTTTGACTTAAGCCTTGTAACTTGGATTAGTCGGCTAAATTTTGGGACTCATAGACTTAAAGCCCAGCAAGTCCTAGAACCCACACTGATGAGTTTGTAAAAAAATCACTGATGCATATAGTAAAAACTTAAAAAATCTTCTTTTAAAGAACTCAAAGAGCTATGGCTAAGATATTGAGCATCAAACATGTTCTTATAGGTGTCTACCAAGTTTGTTCAAATAAAAGCCCTGGGGTCAAAATTGGCCCCGCCCCAGGGGATCATTGATTTTCCCTATATGCATATAGTAAAAACTTAAAAAATCTTCTTTTAAAGAACCAAAAGAGTTAGAGCTAAGATATTTAGCATGAAACATGTTCTAATAAGTGTCTACCAAGTTTGTTCAAATAAAAGCCCTGTGGTCAAAATTGGCCCAGCCCCGGGGGGTCATTGATTTTCCTTATATGTGTAAAGCAAAAACTTAAAAAATCTTCTTTGAAAAAACCCAAATAGCTAGAGTTAAGATATTAAGCATGAAACATCTTTTAGTGAGTGTCTACAAAGTTTGTTCAAATAAAAGACCTGGGGTCAAAATAGGCCCCGCCCCGGGGGTCATTGATTTTCTTTATATGTGTATAGCAAAAACTTAAAATCTTCTTTGAAAAAACCCAAATAGCTAGAGTTTAGATATTAAGCATGAAACATCTTCTAGTAAGTGTCTACAAAGTTTGTTCAAATAAAAGCCCTGGGGTCAAAACTGGCCCGGCCCCAGGGGTGTCATTGTTTTTTAACTATATGTGTATAGTAAAAACTTAAAAAAATCTTCTTTTAAAAAGCCCAATGAGCTAGAGCTTAGATGTTTAGCATGAAACATCTTCTTATGGGTGTCTACCAAGTTTGTGCAAATAAAAGCCCTTGGGTTAAATTGGCCCTGCAACCTTTGGGGGGGTGGGGGTTGGGGGGGGCTATATACAGGTGAGCGACCTCAGGGCCATCATGGCCCTCTTGTTGTAATCTGACACTAGTATTGAAAATTTAAAATCCCCTTAAACTTTGTTTAGACTTTGTGGTTGTTCTAAAATCAAGGCTAAGCAAATCCATTACAAAAATTTTGGAGGGTTAAGAGGTTTAAAGCTGCACACCTCCAGATGAACCAAAATATTTCAAGAAAATCAGACTTGAGAAGAAAAAAACCACAGAGATTTAAAGGAAAATAAAAAGAGTAAAGATAAAAGTGAGACTTTCCATATTATTTGTGATTTATGATCAACTTTGCTGTATTTTTACCATATTTCTACTGCATTAGTGCATTACTAACACAACAAGGGCTATTTTTGCATATTTTGACCTCATTTGGTAATTTACCTGAATTGAATGTGCTGTTTGCAACGTGAAAATTACTTTTGTTGTTCACATGACAATATTTTATTTCTTAAAACATTTTCAAAATTTTCTTGAAAATAAGCATGAATCTGGAGGTGTGCTGCTTTTAACAGGACATGTCCATTAATATTAAATGGGTAAATTCTAAATGTAAGGCTTTTTATTGGATAGTGTAATTCAGAGAGCAATAATTTTTTCTTCTTCATATGTTAATATAAATAACAGTATTATTAAGAGTGATTATAATGGCTTTCAACTTGGCATTTGTAAAAACAAAAAAAAACTGAAAAACGTATAAAATTGGCTTAGTTAATCAAGGTGAACATTGTAAACTGATGCTTTTTAAAGGCCCATTATGTCCCAGAAATACCTTTATTTTCATGTCTCAAAAGCTGCTTTAATTTTTGGTGGCCTGTTATGGTTTTCAAAAAATACTCATAGGCCAATTACCTGAACAATCTTTAGCTCTGTTGCCATTTGGCAATTAGAAGTTTTAGCAATTTAGTATTTTGTACGGAAGTCAAAGTACTGCTTGATTGGATTACATTTTCGGAAATTCGGAAGTTTGAATGTATTTGATAATAAGATGAAAATGCTCGAAATCACTAGGAAAAAAACAACACTACTTAACCTTGATTTTTACGCAAAAAATATCAAAGTAAGTAGCTTCAGATTTCACAAACCCGATTTTCAGTGAATCATGGATGGTGCTAAAGTTTGTATGTTGAGGGCAGGTTGTAATCCTGTTTTAAGATTAGATAGTGGGACATGATTAAGTATAAGTAAGCAGTACCTGTACAAATAGATAATGATTTTTTCTTACGAGGTTAAATTTAGTCAAATGTTTTCTACGCAACATTTGCAATAGCAACGTTTGCAATAATACACGTTGGATCGTTAAATCTCTTCGCAAAGTCTGAAAATCATATTGACTCATTCTACGCAAAATGTGTCAAAGCACTCTAGTATTAATATTAAATATTGTGCGTATTCAATGCTTTCAAATTTAAGGACATAATGAATAGAAAAATTTCAAAATAATTCAGCATTAGGAATGTTTAAAATCTTAACATCACTGTAACAGATTTTTGATATTTTTCATGCTAGTGTGAAACCCAACAGGCTGTTTTTTTTTTGTTACTTTACATTTTCTTCATGAAAATTCTGATATTTATACATGTACTGCTAATGTACACAGTGAAGGATATAATTCATATCTCACCGGTAGATTATATATATTTAATTCTTTACACATTACTCCTTTTCTTTTGAAGTAACTTGAATAATTTGTTAGACAGTCTATGGTAATAAATAGTGAATGATCTAGTTGATATTACACTCTTAGATTTAAATATTATGTTAATTAGCAGTTTCATAT